TATTACAGACTTACACCAATCTGCTGGAAAGTCTTCTCTCTTTTGTTGATAGTTCAACTACAACTTCTACTATCTTCTAGTGGGTTAGAAATCAATGGATGACACGATGGTCCACTTTTTATTTTCATCCTGTGGTATACTGTTTGCTAATTAGCAGCAAATACAAGTATAGCTCTGGGTAAATGAATGTCATTAGTTCTGCAGGTAGACTTTTGTCATATACCAAATTGGGGGATCAATAGAAATGTTTGATTTATCAAAGCTAAGTTATAAGTGAACTGGTAAAAAACTTTTTTTTAACAAATGTACTGAATCATAAGTGCAGCGTTTGACTGAACTCGTGAAAGGTAAACCTTATGACGGTGCTAGAGATATTCAAAATCATTAGGATTTGTTCTTTCTGTAATGTTCATCGTGATCCATCCTTTTGATGGAGCGTTATGTCAGTCCCAACCAAACAAAGCTTTGACAATAGCAAACCTCAAAGTTGTATAAACAGAATAAAGTGGATTTTTCAGAAAGACCACCCACCACACTGTGTTCTTTTAAGTAGACAATGACTGATGGATGAAGCTCCTTTATGATACATGAAGACCACCTGTGTATCTGCTGTGTAATCCCAATTGGTTTACCGCCTGCAGACTAAACACATTATTATGGTGTTTTATCTCCAGCCTGGCAGTCACTCACATCTCAGCGCTAGATAACACAGAGGGAGGTGGCGGTGGATGTCTAATGGAGCAGGAGGTGTGATAGAGATGCAGAATGAAGGAGGGCTGCAGGAGAAACCTGTTCAACAGTCGATCAGAGCACTCTGTATGATGACATTGTCATATGTGAGTACAGTTATCTCCATGCTGACAACATGCTGCCACACAAATGTATGTATGGTTGTGATGTGTGTAGTGAGGCAAAGTAACAGTGAAGAGAAACGCTTTCTCACATCTCACAGATCATTAATCTGTCACCATAACACTCAGGAAATCCCATCCTCGCTGTCTCTATGTCTCTGTGCATGTTTGTAACTGCTTAAATTAATGTAATTTAATCATAAATGATTTGATCTAAACTAATATTTACTGATGAAAATGTATCTAATTTGAAAAAAAATTAGGATGTTTTATATTGGCATGTTTCAATTATAACAAATATTAATTAAATGGTCAGTCTGTAAGTTATTGGGGGGGGGGGGGGTCTCAGGAAGCATGACATGATGTAAAAAGGTTGGGCGAAGATGGCAGACAAAGCTTCCGAGTCTGACACTATGATAACAGTTTTTCCTTTATATCACTGCTCTATTTAAAGGTGCACTATGAAGTTTTAGTAGAGAAATGTGAAAGTTGGAGAAGTGTACAGATTATGTGGTATATGTTCATAACTCTATACACAAACTGTCCTCAGAGAGAATTTGGTCCCTTTAACACTGTTTGAAATTAAAATGCTAGTTATGGTGGTGGGCCCGCAACAGTGAAAGAGTAACTCTCCTGGTAGCTTTTTAGCTCCAAACAGTGTTCCAGGGACCCATTTTCATCTTTGAGTAAAGTTTCTGCATTCAGTTCAGAAAATATAGCAAAGAATTATTCCACTTCTACAACTTTCACATTTCCCTATCAAATATACATAGTGCATATTTAATTGGATGAGGAGAACACAATGAAGCAGTTTCATAACATGAACAGAGATTGAACCAGTTAAGCACCAGTCCCAGGATATGATGGTCATCAACCCTGCTCCCTCTCTAGTTATGAAGTTTCCTGAATGTTTTCTACTACCATCACACAACGCCTCACCCTGACTCCATGCAGAACTTTGACTTAATTTACCAAAAACAAATGTCTCAATAAAGTTGGGTGGTGCATGTACTGAGGGTCCAGTGGGGGTCCCACAAGGGTCAATACTTGGGCCTATTTTATTTTCTTTCTTTATCAATGATCTCCCCAATCTGTGCCCAAATGTCAATGTTCAAATGTATGCAGATGATGCAGTAATATTTACCTCTGCAAAAAATACCAAGGAAGCTTCCAAAATTCTCAGCAATGACCCACATTCAGGACTGGCTTACAAATTCCTGCCTCCTACTGAATACTAAAAAACTGTGAGCATGATCTTCTCAAAAGACAAGTCAAGATCTCACACTCACATTCTTAGGAGGGGAAGACAGGCTCTTGGGCAAATGTGCAATTTACAACATTACCTCTTAATTATGTGCAATACTCCAGCACTGTGACACTTTAGTACTCCAACACTTCACCTCACTTAGCAGCACCTTAAGCACTTCATGCACTTTAAGCACTTAACTCTGATGGTCACTTTATACTGGTTCGTTCTGTAAAAAAGAAAATCAAACAGCCACTCTTTTTTAGAGGGTATGTGTCTCTGTTAATTAATGTACAGTATATGTCATTGTTTTATAATTTCTTGTATTGGTCTTGAGTGTCATCGTTATTTTATGTAACTTTGTTTTAATGTTTTCTAACCACCTGCCAAGGGGCTGCAGGTGGAAATTAGCCTATGGCATATTTACATGTTTTATGTTAATTAATGTACACAGTATTTAAATAAATACATTGAAATTGAAATGTATGTTGGGCTTTAGTTTTTAAGAGACACAAGTTTATTAGTGTAGGGTCACTCTTATTAATGATAATTTTCTTCGATAAATAACTTGAATAAACAAACTTTGGCAACGTTTCACTGTAGGCAGTAAAGGAGTTGTCCTGTTGGTTTGCTGAACTTGAAGAAAGCATCAAAAGTTTTGGGATCAAGATAGAAAGTTTCAATGGTGTTAACATTCAAAACATATGTCATCTAATATAATCCAACAGTCAGTATGTGACTCTATTCAGTCATTGCATATTATATTGTAAGGCAATAGGTCCCTGATTTTTTTCTGCTTCTGTATGTTGCTAATGCAGCTCTCTGTTCCTGTCCATTCAGCTGAACAACAGCACTTCTTGCAGGCTCCCTTGCTCCCTACTAGTGCATGTTTATCTCAGGCAGACATGACAAAGCCTCTCTGATCACTCGCCTTGTGTGCCCTTAAAGGATGAAATAATAACACAGCAATGCTAATGAGAGCAGTAAGCTTACTTGTTTTCTGTATTTATTGAATACATGTTTGTCACGAGCAGCACAGACAAAATACACATAAATCAGTATCTGTGTATAATAAATGAGTATTTCTTGTGCAGCAGCAGTCATCTTTTTATACACTTGATTTGTAGGTGAAATAAAGCCGAATAGACAAAAAGCTCTAGTCAGTTGGAGAAGTAAGATTTTCCTGTCTGATGGATCCTGCATGTGTGTTCAAGTTAGGACACATACATCATAATGTATTGTGATGGGTGACATAGATGTTCTGATATTTCACACTTTCTGTAATTCATCTCATGAAGAAAAATAATTACCCTAAAACATCTTTAGAAAGTAATGACAGACTATTTAAATTTCATTTCCTGAGCTCTGCTGCAACCTAGTGGATTGATGAGATATAACACTTCAGCTTCTCCCTTGGAGTACACAGCCAACAGCAAATCGACCCCTCTATACATGTTAATTCCCACATTTAATCCTGTTAATGTGGGACTAATTATTGTGTGTTGTACTTCCATTAAGTAGGGTGACTCATAATGAAGGGATTTCAAAATAATAAAAAACGAGAGCAGCAGAAAATGAAATATACTAAATTTAAAAATAAAAGCAAAATATATTTTTTACACTTCCTATAGTTCAACTAATAGCATACTAAAATTATGGACACATTCTGGGACATTTTCTCCAGAGCTACTGACATTATTCAAGGTTTTTCAAACAAAGTAAAACATTAAAAGGGGAAATCAACCATTTAGAAAGAAATAGGTTCATTTGAACGTATTTTTAAAGAAGACCAAGACATTTAGGGGTCGAGACGAGTCAAGACCAAGGCAGGGCAAGACTAAGACAAGACCAAGACCACAAACAGTGGGCGTGTCACTCACTGAGACCGTAACACCGGGAAGTTGCAGCTGTAACTGATGGATTTAGAAAAGATTGTTTTTCTTCTAATCACAGTAATGATGTGGAAAAATAGCCTGTCAGTGGTGGTCTTGATTTAAAATCCGGTATCTGCCCAATCTCAGACCGAGGTAAGACCGAGTAAAAATGCTTTCGATTCCGAGACGAGACCAAGACCGATTTTGAGTACAAGACTAAAACAACACACAACATATATGTTCCTTCATGTGTCAAGCTACTCAGCAAAAGTAGAACCAAACAAAAGGTACAAAAAAAACCTTTTAAGGTGAACCCGTTTTGGATGGTGAAGAAGATATATATATGTATATATTTTAAAGAAAGGCAGGAACTCCCCTTTAAAGTCTGAAATTGATTTGAATTTACAGAGGAGCAGAGGTCATTTATCTCCACTCTGCCTCTCGGGCTCTCGCCCACAACTTCACCTCTCTGTGGAAGTCATTCAGTGCTGCATCCTTCATGGTGAGATGCAGACTGATAAGGAGAACCGGCAAAAGAAGTGGGTGTAACTGACAGCAAATACCAAACACAACCCTCAGGGCTGCAGCAGTCACACTGAAATGCAGTTTCAGCTACAGGGGAAAAGCTTTTAGTTTCATGTCAAGTAAAAAATATGTCTGTACTTTATATTCACAAAAGTGTAGAATTAGTGTAGTGTAAGTGTAGTTCTGGAGGCAGGCATGCAAACTGTATTCATTTCAACATTTACTGGACATAAAGAAACTGTTTGTAGAATGATCTGATGGTATACAAGTTTATGGAGCAGTCAAGCATTCACAACCTTTACAAAGAATACAGGACGAGCTGATCCCTCACAGATGTAGTAGAATATTTGTTCTGCATTGGGTATGCAAAAATCTCCTTTGGACATATCACATGTGAGAGGTATGGCTGAGTGAAAATGCTCACTTCCTCCTCTTTTTTTTAAACATAATATGCACTTTTGTCCTTTGGATAATTCATACATCAGTAAAGTGACACACAGACACTTTCAAAGTGGATACATTTATTCTTTGAAACTACAGTTTGAATTAAAAATACTTCTTCTGAAGACGACATTAAACCACACACACACACACACACACACACACACACACACACACACACACACACACACACACACACACACACACACACACACACACACACACACACACACACACAGGTTAGGGCAGATACATCACAGTGATCATATTCAGAGAGGCACACATTCAAATAATAAATGAGTTTTTTTTAACATTTCTATCTGACCTACCTCTTCTGTTGCACACATTCACAATAACAGCATGTTCTAACGTTTCTTCACTCACTTCACATTGTCATGCAGAGCTCTGCTGTGTGAAACAAGAGGCTCAAAAATGATTGCGTTGCCAATAACATTCAGAGAAACAGCCATTATGGTTTTAAAAACAGTTCTGTCATGCAGCAGACTGCATGCACACAGACAGAGAACACAGTATAAATCAAAAACAAACTTTGACGTGTACTTGTTTTTTTTGTACAATAATATGTTGGCAGTGTTTCCCACAGGTAGTCATAATGAGGTTGACTACAGCTTGATGCAGTCGGGTAACATTTGTAAAATGATGGATCATAGACATGATTTACTGGCAGACTTCACCACTTTTGTTTATTTTGAGACGTGAAGCATTTCTGCAGCCGGTGTCCCATTTGAGAACAGCTTTCTTATATCGTAGCATTGCAACAGAACAGGTAAAGGCCGTTAACGTGAAATTCCATAAGAAGTTGATTCATGGCGCTAAGTTCTTTAGACATTATTCTTAAATACCTGAAAACCAGGATACAAAATAGTTGTAATTGTTTCTAATCAAGGACAACAATCACATTTCTTTCTGAAAGACCTGACTGACACTCTCTCAGGTCTGTGAGTTCAATAAGAAGCCAAACTGAGTTGAAATCAGCAAACAGAACACATACATCTAACTGGTGGATGAACACGACATCCCCCCTGTCAACAAAGTGCTCACATGCTAATCTACTGCATCCAAGTCATGAGCACACGTTAGCTAGCTTGAGGCATTTGACGCGAAAAGCCAAAAATGGTCGCTGCTACGCTACGTAACAGCTTTTGAACAACTCAAGAGAAGTCCACTAAAATGTAAATTTGAACACACAGCAATAGCTACAGTAGGACGCTGAACTGACAAAACAATAAGGTGTATAGAAACAAGGCCGTGGTGATGCTGTGAGTTTTTATATTCAACATTATTTTAACCTCTGGTGCAAACTGCAGCTGCTGCTTACAATTTCTACTCATGTTTAGGAGGAATATGGTTAACAGAAGTGGGAAGATTCACGCCAGAGGGTGGGCTGGAGAGGTTAGAGGTTATCTTGTGGATGTATGTGATGGATACTCTGCAGCAGACCTCTCAGGACTGTGTGATGACTATGCTGCAGCAGGCTCAGGTCAGGGCTCAAAGTGTTGTAAATCTAGCTAACGGAGCACGGGTCGTCCTTGCAGGGCTTCACATCCCCCTGCAGCAGCTGGATCATTACAGCCTTGGACAGGTAGCTGGAGGTGCCTCTCTTCCCCACCGGTGGGGTGTTGTAGAATGACTCCATGTCATCCTGCAAGAGGAACGACAAAAAAAATCCTACTCAGTCTAATTCTGAAATCATATTCGATTATATTCTTAAAGCATTCATGAAGTTTATAAAAGCTCCTGTGAGGAGTGTTAGCTGGATAACAGCTTAAATTAATACGGATGCCTCTTTACAGTGAGAACAAAAAAGCAAAGCAGACCATCAGCATTAATACTAGTTATTTCTAAATTGCCTAAAACTCCTCCTGGGGAGTCAGACAGTGATAAACTTTGCGCTTCAGAAACAACCTTTTTTATATATATTCCACAGAAAAAAATGTATCAGTAATTGATCCATTTGAGTAGAATGAGATTTGTTAAAGTAACACAACTTACACATTTAGAAGACAAAACCAGCAAAGAGATAAGATGTACTGATTTGTCCACAGTGGTCGCTAAAATCAACATAAACCTAATGTTCTTCAAAGGAGCTTTGATTTAAATCTACTTCAGGGATTTAATAAATCTCTACTAAATGGGAAAAGTAACGTTTGTTTTAGGTTAGTCTGGGTGATATGACCTCAAATCAATCTCACGATTAATTGATCATTTTACCTCGATTACGATTAATGAACGATTAATTTGTTTTCTGCCCTCACAGTTCACTGACATGGTCTCTACTGTAAATATGCTCAACTATTAAAGCTGGGATATTATCTAATGAAAGAGTGCATATCTGATTAACTATTTTGTGGTTATTTATTGAATATTTCAAAGTTAAAGCAAAACATCGCTTGAAATTAAAACAACACATTTGAGTTTTAAAGAAGAAATAACTTCTCTAAAACAGTAGAAAATAAATAACTTGCATGTCTTGCAAACAGTTTTTCCCCAGTGTTTAAATTTCACTTCTTTTTGTTCAGTGTCGTCTTCCTTGAAAATAAACAAAATAATTGACATGGGCAAGATTGGTTAGAGGTTCTGAATGTCAGTTTCGATTCATTTTTCGATTCATTTCCCAGCCCTATGTTAGTCTTTGATTTATCGGTGTATTGCCAAAACAGAGGCTCAAAGATTGAAGACACATCAGGGGCAGGGGTTACATTTTTTAAGGACGTTAGAGTGGGTCAATCCTTATTTGACCCTTCAAAATCCCCAAAAATGAAAACCTCCAACCCCAAGATAAAACAGGCCTTATGCCCTGCAAACAATAATGTAACAATCCAGTGCTGATATGGTTATACTAAGGGTGATTGAAAAGCATACAGAACATCTTCAGCTACATTTATTTATCATTTTTAAACATTCCCTGTGTTCCTCATTTTGCAGTGTTTCACACACATAGAAGATATTTTGATTTTAAATGTTTCTGAAGTCAAGGTATTTATTATGTCACAGTCACAGTTTTAACTGCATGAGAATGTCTACAGGTCACATTCAAATAAAAGAAAGTCAAGACGTATTCTATCGCAATCAAGTCCAAAGGAAAGCACTCTGTAGTTGTAAGATGTCGTGACACATTAACACTGAAGGCATGTCGTGGACCCCAGCAAGAATGGGGATGTGGGATCCTTACAAACTAAACTCTACCTGTTTCTCCGTGCCTTCAAAGCGGCTGCAGTCCCTCTGAAAGTCATTAAAGGCCTCCTTCACCAGACCATCCAGATCCACCCTATCGCTGAACTCCAGCTCCGGGTTTCTCTCCAGCACAATGGACACCACCATCAGTAACTACTCACACAGTGGAGACAAATGACAAGGCTGTGAGAAACACAAAAAGACAAGCAGCAAAGAAGGTTGTATTCTGTTTTGAAATTCTTAACCCGACTTAATAATAACCAAAAAGAACCTTAAAGGGGAAGAAAGACACTGTCTGTGCAGTAGAAAGGTGAAATCAAGTTTTAAATCAGTGCCCAAATTAGATGTAGGGCAAAATCCATAAAAGAGATGTTTGATTGAAGTTAATGTATCAGTTGTTTTACCTCTACTATGATTTGTCTGTACTCAGGCAGGACGATGTTCTTCACAGTGTCCTCCACCAGCAGGGAAAAGTTCATCTCATACATGGTCATGTCAGACAGCGTAGGTTGCTACAGAGAGACAGTCAGAAATAAAATATAGTTATTCGTTTTTATGATGTTCTCCCGATTAAAACGCCATGCTGAAACCTCCGACTCCATCACTATGACCACAGGAGAGCCAGATCATCATCCCCCTGTCCTTTGCACAGTCGTATGATGAGCTGTGTTTTTTTTTTTTTGATCAAGCAGGCCACAGACTGCACGGCAAACCTTTGCAGGTTGACATCCGAGAGCAGGCCAATTCACTGCAGCTATAGCCCCAGCTAGTGGCAGGTGGCAGTGTTACAGCTTAGACAAAACATTTGCCTGGCATTATGGGTCTGCTTTAATGAAAGAAAAAATTGAAACAACTCATAATTTTGGTGCTGACTAATGAGTGTGACAAAGGGGCGCCAGTGGCCTAGTAGGTTAGCTCGGCCAGCCACCAGCAGCCCTTAGTCAAAAGTACAAACAAACCAATGGGAGGAACACTCTTTCTCTGAATTTTTAGGTAATCTCTAAAAGATAGTTACAAAGAGTTTGTGTCTTACACGATTCAAAACTCTAGTCTTTTGTTACCGTCAGCGTTGTAAAGCAGAAAAAAATACAGAGTGTCACATTTGACCAGCGTGGGAGGATTTATCTTGCTTTATCAGTGAGCATCAGGTACCTGTGGTAGGTGAGTCCCAGCCACCAGGATCCCGTTGGGGGTCCTCTCCAGGATCTGCCACACACGGTCATAAAAACCCAGAGGGGTCCTGTTCAGAGAGCCGTCAATCTGACGCTTGTTCAGCCAAGACCTGAGGCAAAACAAGGGGGGAACTGTTGAACCATGTTTTTAAAATTTGGGACAGATATATTGTGTAGCCCCCCCGTGCTAGAGGAAAATCTCTATGACTCAGTGTGTAATAGATGAGATGAGATGAGATAAAACTAATTCTCATGGGGAAATTGGATTGCTGCAGGGGCAGATTATAAGATATGGGTGAAGACACCACAGAGGATAAAATAATTAAAACTCAGAAGATTAAGTACATGCACTGAGATAAAGGCATGGACGATGTGTGACTCTGAAGGGATTAAACAGCACATGATGGAGAGTACCTGCCCGTGTGCTGCGGCTGCAGGACGTCCAGCAGGAGCTGCTTGATGTCACTTGGAGACAGTTGGTGGATGTCCTGGGCTGGCATGTCTCCCGCACGGATCTTCAGCTCATGTTTCATGGCCTGGACAATCCATCTGCAGATCCACAGAGACTGTTAATCCAAGAAGCAATGAACCCTACACAAACCTCATGGGCCTGATGGTTTTGTTAGAACAAGGAGGTACATTTTAAAATTTGTGTCATTTTTTTGGATTCTGCTTCATAGTGTCAAGTTTCTTATGGCTAAATTAAATAACGTTAATCTCAGGCAAAGAAACAGGCATGTGATGTTTCTGCTTTCTGACTGATTACTGATCAACTGTCCAGGTTGCAATGTGTAAAAACCTATCTGATAAAAAAAAGTCCCCTAAACCCTGAATTAAAGACAGAATTCTGATTGTCAATAATTCTCACCTTTCTCCTCTGTGTGTGGAACAAGCATTTGCATACATCGTTATTAGACTGCTTTTTTCACTTATGGGATCATAAAGGCTCTATAAAAAATGAATCCTTTTTATATTAATGGCACATTTCCCTCCCTTTCAATGAGCAATAAATGTTATCTACCTCAAACTCATTTCTTATTTCTATATCCAAACCTTTTCATCTCCTTGTGCACAGCCTCACCCAGATTGAGACTTTGGTTTTGTGATAATCTATGGTATATAAGGGTTCTATTACCCAGTCATAACTGTGTCTGAAAAATGACGCAGATCTCTTTATTTTGTAAAATTGGCTTGGAAGAGGGACATAGGCAATGGATTAAGACGGGGTAGAGAGGGGGGCACGTAGGAGTACACTTATCATCTGTATACACCTAACATATGTGTCCTAACAGATTATTTTATGGGACAGCTGTGAGGAATAACCTGCAGCTTTTTGGAGTTTAGTCACTTTGTTTGATATCAGTGGACACCCGATGTGTGGGCTCTATTTGAGGACACATTTCCACCATGACAAGGTTTAACCATTAACACTATATATCCAGAAACAGGCAAAACTTCCCATTTAAACAACACCAAGCACTATGTAACACAATCCCACACTGTACAGACTCAGATTTACATTAGACGATTCACTTAACAAATGTATCGGCACTTTGTAACTTTCCATTGATTATGCAGAGGCCTGGAAAGGAATACGCTCTTTGAATAATGCTATGAATAATGTGCGCTGTTAAAAATCACATTGCAGCACTCAGAAGAGACAAACAAGAGCCAAATACAGGTCAAATACATTCTGCAACTTCCTGAGCTGAGGAATGAAGCCATTACACAAGTGACCAAAACTGCAGCTCCTGAAGTGGCCTCTTGAGGCCGGCTGAAAAGAAAAGGTCAATGGCCTTTTCTATAATTCATTGATTAAAATGTCCAACTTTAAACCAAATCTTTTAAACCTCCTGTTATAAAAAAAGTTATGGCCATGTCAACTGTTTACTGTGATTGTGTTGTTGGTGGCTTTAGGGATTTCTTCGTTGGAAATATAGGACAATTCTTAAGACCACAACCAATTAGTAGGTTTAGGTGTCTTTTTTTTAGCCAGTGCTAAAAGGGTACTTAATGAAGTGACAGCAGAGCCAACAAACTAATAGGTCACACCACAGTGGTTACAATCTTTATTTAGACAGTAATGTTTGGATTGTGGATTTACTTAATTAAATAACCCTTAAAACAATGGTAGTAAAATGTATCATTCTCTAGCTGTTTGGCAAATTAACACAAGAGTTATTTTTGCAGCTTTCTTCCCATATTTACATTTAAAACACCATTAAATAGAAAATAAATAAATGAAGCCCACACTTCGGTCAAATAACCTGAATATGAGGTGTCATTTGTATGAATAGTGAATACACATAACAACAGCAAGGAGTTCTTATTCATAAGAAAATAAACTGAGGGCAGACTGCGGCATGCATGATGTTCTGGAGAGTGGTCTGAACACTTTAGGGCATTAGGGTGGACCTGTTACCCAAGTTTTTTGGGGAGGGTGATACAGCGGAAGTGCCCTCTTGGATGCCCCTATGGTAGATAAAACATGATCAAGTGTCCTTCGGGATGCCCTCTTAGTGGACAAAAGGTAGTAACATGCCCTCCAGAGTCCAATGGACAAAGCCCTCTAGAGCAGGGGTTCCCAAACTTTTCAGGTTGTGACCCCCAAAATAAGGGTGACAGAAACTGGGACCCCCCACTGTTCTTTAAGGTGGTTAGTTAGATATATAACGTAGCGACAGCCACGCACACACTAATAAACCAATCCAAAAACTAGGAACACAAAATAATAAAACAGCCTAAAAACAATAAAAAATGTACACATTAATTTCACTTAATGATACTGTCTTATATGACATTGGACTACTTTTTGTATATTGACAAAAATGGGTAGAAATATATACTTATGCACTTTTAAATTATTTTTTATTTTTTATGGAAGGCATCCTGCGACCCCCCTCTTGGTGGCTGTCGACCCCCACTTTGGGAACCACTGCTCTAGAGAGCACGTGTCCTATAATGTGTTCCATCACTACATGCTGGAAAATTAGTTGGCCTTCACATGTTGCCCTTTTAATTATCCCCCCCCCCAACCCCCAAACATCCTGAGTCCGGCAGTGCCTCAGGAGGAAAGCAAAGACTACGTACTCCATGAGACCTTCTTGCTTAACCTAATCTTCAAACATTTTCTTTACAGTTATGAAAATATTCCTGAAGCGGATTTTTTTTTCTTACCCGACTCTGATTTTGAGCATGCCGCTGAACAGTTCTGGGTTGTTAGAGATGATCCATCCGATGTGGATGACCAGCTCCTGCTGCAGAACGGCCTCCCGCTCCCCGCCGTGAGGTGAGCACTTGCTGTAGATGATGCCCTGGATCACTCCTGGAGACAGCGGGTTCGAGATCACCTCCTCTTCTTGCCCAAATAAACCAAGGGTCACCTGGGTTTCACAGGCGTTTGCATGTTGCAGACACACAGGGGGAGAGAGCAAACAGCAAACAGACATACAGTTAGAAGGGTCTGTGCAGTGAAGATGACTTGCAGTGCATAGTATGTTTAACTTTCTGTGAGCGTACACAGACGCACGTGAGTAGAAATGTGCACATGCCACTTCCTCCGAGGTGCATTTCCTTCAAGTGTCTTTGCTCCATCACTTTGAAATTGGCCCTCTCTCTCAGAGTCACATGAAAGTGTGTGGGGAAGAATTACAGATCCCAAGATTGCTCTTTGTATTTTCTGTCTTCTGAAAGCCATCTCATAAAAATTACACCTCACCAATCTTCTGATTCGCGGACGCTCTCTTTTTCCTCGCCTTCAGCTGATGAAACCCTGCACTTTGAAGACGTTATCGTTCATCTTTACATCTAAACTGAGTCTAACTGAGCAAGGAGCTGGAAATGTTTTTGAAATTTTGTATTCCAGCAGAATGCATTGTTGAATTTTAGTGCTGACGAGAAGTATAATCCAAAGCTGCGTTTTTTTTGTAAGCGGAGGAACACAGCCGTTTGAAATCGGAAATCAGCTTTTCCAATCATGTCGAGAGCAGTATTCCCTCCGGTGAGCAATCTATATGCAGATTCACACCTTGAGCTACTTGAGCATAATGAAATGCCTAAAACTGTTCAGAAGGGTAAAAAACGAGGCGAGATAAGTGACTCTCTCGAGAGGAGGCTAATCTCTGAGTAACACTTGACAGGAAATGATGCACCGCAACCCCTACAGTGCGAGGGATCGCCATCACACCAATCCACAGGTTGTATTGTATCAATCAGCACATAAGGTGAGTCTAGACATGTGGACACGGTGCATATTAGGATTCTCTCACAATGTCAGCCTTCTCTACAACTACAGCTTACATACACACAGGGTGGAGGTGAGCTGTAATGAGGAAATATGAGCATGCAGCTAGCCTTAGTTATTCCCATAGGATGACAACAAGAGGAGCATTTTTTTCTTTTTTTTTTTTAAATCAGTGAACATTAAAATCATTGTCCCTATATGTAAAAATTTCCAAATGTAGCCCCAACCCAATTTGCTCAGAGGGAATAGTAAGGGTAACCCCCTCAGGCCCTGCAGACTGGGTGTTCACTTACCTGCTTGCCATGCACTAAAACACTAGTAATACTGGGTGCAAGGCTGTCCACTAGCTTAGTTAACAGACTGGCAGCAAGACGGACAACAGACCTAGTGGGTAAAAAGACACAAGAACAGTCTTTACATGATGACATATAACAACTAAGAGCTACGTATTTTACAATCTGCATGTTTTGTTCATGTCTGATGTAAAACGTCCTCAAATTAACCGCAGCTTCAGCAGAGCAGATATTATAGTAATGTGATGTTTAACTTGTTTTTATTTCACTGCCCGTGCATATTGTTCAAGCAGTTTAAAATTGTGGGAAGTAAGTTTCTCAAGGTGTTACAGGAACCAAGATGATCACGTATTTAAATAACCTCTTTTACAGAGAATGAGCAAGGTTTTTTTTATATATCCTAATTTCTTGGAAATGGTTGTATGTGTATGTATACTCAGGCTGGAGATTTATTTAAACTGTACTGGGTCATTTAGCAAAGGTTTCTCGTTTTTAAGAAATGCTTTTTGAAATGAGAATTACATTGGCTTCACCTTCACTTGAAAGTACATTTCCCCGATTCTCCATCATGATAACAGCAATACATCCCTTGAAATTGCTCATGATAGCAATTTCATGCCCCATTATACAAAAATAATCCAATATCAAAATGAACTTCAAAAAACACAAAAGTTTACAAAGCTGAGTATCTATTGCATGTCAGAAAATAAAACCTGTTAACCCCAGTCCTGATAAATTAATTTATAAATATAATAGATATTAGATTAAAGGTTAGCTTCACAGAATATATTTTAATGTTCACTTATTTCTCTTTTCACTACTCAGGAGAGTCAGAGCAGCTGTGAAGCTGCCTCCTCTGTATGCAGAAATCCTATGAGGGAAAAGCAGCACACAAACACTGAGCTTATCTTCACATGGTAACCCAAAGCCACGGTTTCTATGGAAACACACAAACATGGATCTGATGCCATCCTTACAGAAGCAGAGAACAAATAATTATATTAATGGGGTCATAAACACAATCAGCTGAAACACAACCACCTATTATTATATGCTGAGAATAACTCCTGTGTGATGTTCTGTGTGTGTGTGTGTGTGTGTGTGTGTGTGTGTGTGTGTGTGTGTGTGTGATGTTCTGTGTGTGTGTGTGTGTGTGTGTGATGTTCTGTGTGTGTGTGTGTGTGTGTGTGTGTGTGTGTGTGTGTTAGTAGTTATTCTGTGCTTAAACCTGCAGAAATACGAAGGCACATCTCGAGCACAAAGCCTTAATGTTTAGAAGGCACGATGTGGTGTCAGTCCCCTGATTCTTTGTTGGGGAACCTATTTCAAGCTTCACTTCCTGGCCCATGTTAGGTAAATGAGAAAGTAAATTGAGCTCAGTATCATTGCTATTTTCCAGCAAGTAGGAATGGAGCCTCCAGGTTTTTCTATTTTACTTATTTATTTGCTCTATCGTGGCATCATTTTCAATTTCTCTGTGCCAGAAAAAATCCTCGTAATTAATTAAGCAGCATATAATAAAGGGGCAATGTAAGCCAACCTTGAACAAATTCAAACCAAAGTTCACAGAACATCCTGACCACTAAAGAAGGGAACAAAAGCGCACACGAGAAGTGTGAAAACTACAGTATCTGATGAATTCTTCATGAGTACGGCCGGCAGTATACCTCGAACAAAATAGAGTTTAAGCAGCCTCGTAGTCAAAGATCAAAAAGATATCAGGTGCTTGGCTCAGAAAATGGCTAGACTATTCTTTGACAAGCTGCTCTTGAGGATGAGGAACCTCCTCTGAAGACAATAAAACTGATTCACATCAAGTCTTAGCTTCATATCAAACTGGAGGAAGAAATACCCCCTCCCCTCCCAGCTCCTCGTCTACAGTATGTGTGGATAGAATTGAAACATGAGCTCTTCAAGCACAGCAATTGTTGGCAATTTCTCTCTGCAATCAGATGTAAAACATGAGACAATTGCACTCCGCTTGCAAAACTTCATGGATCATTTCTGCCCAATATTCTTTGTGAGGGTTACCTCTGCATTGGCCAGATAGCAGTGACAATCATTGCACAAATCATGAGGCTATTAGTGACCTCAATCCGTTTAATTTCGCAAGATCCCCCACCTCCCCTGGGTGTTTTAATAACAGATTAAAGTAAATCATTGCTGCGAGACACCTGAGCTGGAGCAATCCAGTAGAAACTGGCATATTAGATCTCAGTCCCACGTTGCTCTGAGCAGACTGCAGACACACATTTGGAAAACTGAACACAATTCTATTTTATTTGCAGTATACAGCCGGCTTTAATGCAGCGTGCGATGCTTCGGTTGGCCGAAACGAGCGTCCAGCCTCTGCGACGGTTAATGGAGAAAAAGCGAACACTAAAGAAAAAGCTCCTGTACACACTGAGTCAGCGTGCTAGCTCAACTAGCTAGCTTTAGTCATATCATGGCTGTGATAGTGTTAGCCTTCTTCTTGTGCTTATATTTGTGGCTTAGCGTGAAATAGCTTTAGCTAGTAAACATTTCAGCACAATGCTATGGCATTAACTTATGACTACATTACTCCACCTGTTGCCATGGTGACAGATAGTGAAATATTACTTTGAGAAGTACAATTTTAAACACCTGTTGGTAGAAGACTTGGTACTAGCATAAGTTTAACACAAAACATATCCCAAACTGTGCCAAACTTCTTCACCAGAATAACTAGTGCTTCCATTGTTTTTACAAGGTTATTATTAACTTTTATAGTTTTAATGCTAAGATGAAGTCTTTATTGTAATTTGTATCCATACATAAGGTAAAGAAAGAGCAGAAATGTTGACTCTTTGAAGTTATAAATCCAATCTCAAAATATACATAACCTCTTCCTCCTGACTTTAATAATTCTTGTTGACCACATAGTTTTGAGGAATCACAAACTATTAGCTGAACCTCACACAGCATTCAATCTAGGCAGCCACATGGAATAAACATGCAGATTCTCCTCATCTCTGCCTGAACATTACCTGTTTCCCATGCACCAGTATTGTGGTGATGTGAGGAGCAATAGAGCTGGCAAACTTCTTGATAATAGCAGCAGCATGGCGCACTGCCAGCCTGCAGTCCGACCAGATTAAATAAGAGTCATTTTCAATTGTCATCATGAGGAAAAGATTCAGAGAGGACTGGTAACATTGACAAAATGAGTCTAGACACAAAACATTTGGTTAAGGGCCATAAAAGATATGCCAAATCATCTCATTGAATCCTAACCCTTTTAACTGAACCAAATCACTGAACAGAGCAATAATCAATAAGACTAACTAAATGAACTAAATCTGAACGTCTTAGAGACCTTCACTGAGCACATCTTAGAATAAATGTTTGTTTGATTTGGACACAGTGATCATCGTCTCTATATTGTGACTGAAAAAAATCAGACATTGTCTAAAGACATTTGTTCTAAATGTTGAAAAACAGTGTTAAACTGCAAGTATTTGTGTAAGTGTGTGTGTGTGTGTGTGTGTGTGTGTGTGTGTGTGTTTGCAAATATCAGACCAAAGCTTTCTGCTGCCAGCTCTCCTGTAGATTCCCTCCAGTTCATCCATCAGGTTTTCTGCAGCCAGACATTGAAAATGTCATAAAGACGCACCCCAAGTTCACTGAAAATCACTGTAAGTCATTTCTAAAAAAATAAAGCATTAACCACCCATTCAAAAGAATAATAAAAGAGCACCCTACAGACCTGTGTTTGATCACATGACTAATGCCTGACATTAAAACATGTTTTTTTTTTTTTAAAAAGGAATGAAATGGGCAGATGTACAATGTAAGCAAAGGTTCCAAATAGTGGGACTTAATGAAAACTCTTATAACATGTGCTTCTGTTTCACTTTAACAAATGACTATTTCTTTAAGATGCTCACTAAATCACAGAGTTTGCTTACCATCTTTGGCGAGAAAGTCGGGACCTTCTCTCCTGAGGAGGATGCTTGCAAGCTGAGCCTGACTGGCCAGGCAGCCAGAATCCTGTTAGCATGCAGACACAGACAATGTTATTACTGTATGCATACACAGCTGCAGTTTTATTCACATGCAGTGAACACTAACAAACTGTAATTAAATACTGTTGTACAGTAGCGACATTGTAAGAATATCATCTAATTAAAATTTGAAACACCTCAAGGAGTAAAATTTAGGGAAAAGAGTATCTTAAGGATGCCATGAGATGACTGGAGTACATTCATTATTATTACAATTTTGTGGTAGCTTTGATATTGTAAATGGTAAAAACACACTTTAAAAAAAAGGCAAAAAAAAGAGCAAAAGAAAGTGTTCAAAGTCAAGGTAGAGAAAGCTAGATGACTTGATAATCCTCTTCTCATAACCCATGGGCTGTGAATATTCGAGGTCAGAGCCGGGTAAAAATAAAAAAGTTTAAATGTAAGAGTAGACTTGAGGTTGGCCGTCTCTTTAGAAACCATGGCTCGACTGTGATAGATGTCATATTGAGACAGGAGCCTGGTGGTCAGGTGAGTCTTGATGAGAGTTTTTTTTTGTCAATGAGTCAACAGAAGGGAACCAAGAGCGCATTAAGTTAATCTATCGCCCAAATATTACAAAAAAATCCTCTGAAACTCTCCAAAGAAGACGCATGAGGACTCTTTGAAGTGGATCTGTGAGTCGTTGAAGCTTTTTCATATTCTTCTCTATTCTTCCATGCTCAACTTTAACCATTAAAATTGTAACAGTTATTGAATATTATATAAAATATGAATTAAAGCAACTGAAGTTTTTAAGTTATTCTGTTCTTTTGGGAGAAACGCAGCATGTTTGACTGCAGGGACATTTTTTTTCCTTCACAGAGTAAAATGGAGAATTCATGATTCAGTCCTCATCACTGTTGACTCCCTCTCTTAACCCGATGGTGGCTGCAGACAGTCATGTGTCACCTCTTATACATACTGATCTGCAAGACGCTTTGGTTCACCTGTGACTCTGACTAACACAATGATTCAACACTAGCTTATCCTCCAAAAATATGTATTTATTTCAATGTATTATAATGACATATTTAGCCTGAAGGAACTCTGTCCTGGACATAACCCAGGTCATTGTCATATGTGGTGCTTACCTAACACTTCTGCAAGTCTAAGTAAAGGAACTGGTTAGAGGTACAAAACTACTTTTGCAATTAATGGAAAAGACAATCATACCTGCCACCATTATTCATACAAGAGCTGCAAAAAAGACCAGTAATTAATAGATGGGTTGATGTAGAAATGCTACGGATACAAAGTTTAATTTATATGCTGACGATACGATCATACAACAATAAGAATGGCTAAAATCAAACAACACTTTACTGATCTCTTTGTCTGCCGTAGCTACTGGAGTAAACAACGTACAAACTGCATTTAACATCGAGAAAAAGACTTGTACTAAATGATGTGATTCTCCAAGTCAAAGATGGTACAAACACGGGGCATTGGTAGCCTAGTGGTTAGTGCGTATGCCCCATGTACGGACGCTATGATCCTCAAAGCTGGCAGCCTGGGTTTGAATCCAGCCTGTGGCTCCTTTCCTGCATGTCTCTCTCTTTCTGATTTTCTGCCTCCATCCTGGGTAACAAGGGCACTCTCTCTAGCTTCTCACTGAGGTTGGTGAAGGAATGAGGCAGGTGTGTATATACTCTCTCATTATCTCACCTTCAGAGGTAGTGAGAGGTTCTCCCTGTGTTTTCTCTTGTTGTCTGTGTGTGCATAAACACAAACAAAGCACAAAGTGTGTTTTATTTGTTTTTCCATTGTTGCAATACGCCAGCCTTTTTTGTGAACTTTTAAGGCCTCCCTGGTAGCCTTTGCTTTTGTTAAGTGTTTTCTGGGTCTCCTGGACAATTTAGTTTTGAGTCAGCAGTAGTTCAGTTCATCATTTTTGGTGCATTAGTTAATTAATACGTTTTTTTTGGTCTCTTACAGTTTCTTTGTTTTTCCCTCCTCTCCAATCTATCGCTTGCGATTTTTGTGGTCATCCTTCTGGTATAACTTAAAGATACCCCTGGGTCTGCACCTGTGTCCCACTTCCCCCTTTCCTGACACCATCCACAGTCCTGTCTCAAATAAAGGCATACAAAGTCCTAAAATAAATCTTAGCAAAAAGATGGACAACCACATTGAGTGGTCAACAAAAATGAGGGTGAAATTTGGTCTCATCTATTGAGACAAACGCTTTTTGTCTTTTGTTGCAAAGGGAGAAACTTATTAAAGCAACCTTTTAATCAGTAATGGACTTTAGTGATATTCTTCACATGTATGCTCCCTCATCATCAAGAGAGCTGGGCATACATCCTTTGATCGTGGTTATTACTTTTCTCCAGTGGTTAATGAACGTGTAACCGGGATTGTAGGGATTTCTTTCTAATGCTAGCAGAATTATTTGTAATGTATTGGTCATTGTGAACCCCAACATGTATTCCTTGACTGTTCCTCCCTTTAAGGAGATCAACTCACATGGAACTTCTGGATGATTTCGGGGGTCGGCTTGTGCAGCCACTCCTCCACGCTGATCTCCGGCTGCTGCTCCAGGTCCGAGGCGTTTGGTGTACTCGTCTGTCTCTTCACCTTGGAGTGCTTTGGCAGCTCCAGCTCCTCGAAGCTTTTAAACTCTGGGATCCTTTAAACAAGCACACAAAGATAAGAGGAGTCACGTTACATGTGCTATTTAAAGTTAGAGAGTAGTTCTTTACTCAAGGATTGTAATGCTGGTTTTATAATGTAGAAAAATTCATATTTAGAGCTTCAATGTAAACAATGCTGGAATTATTGTATTTTTACCTGAGACTAATTTATTGGTACTGAAAACATTGACAATGAAAATCAAGTTGCTACATCAGTAAGCTGCAGTTCAACATTCATGAAAACTGGTCATCAGATTGTATGAATATCACATGAAGTTGTCCACTGCATCCCGGAAATTCATCTTGAGCTTTTTCAAATCTCCTGCCAGCCTTTTTAAATAACCAAAGAAGCTGCCTTACTCAGCTTCATTGACACGCAGGAAGTCCAGCTGCTCCACCACAGCTCCAGATATCAGGGTCTAACAGGGCCAGGAGAAAAAAAAACACATTATGGCATTTGCAGATTGATTATTCTTTTAAGTACACCACAATACACAAGAGAATTCACTTATATGCTTATAGATACGTGCAAAATAGGTTAGAGGAAGTCATCCCGTGAAAGTAACACTGAGGAGCCCAGAAAAGATGAGGAAGCAGAGTTGAATAAATCCCCGAGAGGAGGCTTTCAGGATGATTCAGAGTACTAAACAACCATTAGCATTACATAGTGCAGCTCATAACAAATAACACATGGAAAAACCCGGGTTCACTGCTTTAAATTGACAAAATGTGTACAGGAGCGGCAACAAGCGAGTGTCTAACAGGGTGAAAGTAAAAGTTTGAGTCTGTTAAAAGGATAGCAGCGTAGGAGGAAAGAGTGCAAGTTCAATACCACTTGCTCCTGTGGTCTAAATGTGATATTAGCCATTCCAACTGAAGTCGGCTCCAAAACAAAAATACGAGGCGTAGGAGAGGAACGCTCCTGCTCCCCATAACAATGAGATGATGAAGAGGAGAAGTGTTTCAAAGCTGGAGGAGTTAGCTGTGAAGTGAATAGCAAATAGGCGAAGGGAAGGAAGAACTTTAAAAGGAGAAAAAAAAAAAAAAAGGTCTATATGAAGAAGTCTCTGGTGAAAACCACAGACACGCTGGGAGAAAAGTTCGGCTTCCAAGACCTGTCATGAGTTTGACAAAGCAGTTGGTTAAAGTTACCATTGTCGAAATACTTCTAGTCTTAGCCTGGATTGTTTTTCCTGCTTTTTGCAACAAAAAAAGACTGAATGTTTTAAAAACATCCTGAGGCTTTAGGCAATCTATTCTGAAGTAGAAGAATTATTCAATTATTTAGTAACTGTTTATGGTTCATTATAAATGTATGAATCAGTTGATATGAGGCAGCATTTTAACATTTTATATTATTGTTTATTCATTGCGTCGAAAGGTTTTTTTTTTTTTTTAACCACTAGGGAGCTGTGACATCAAGCAGGACACTTCAAACACATACTATCAGCTTTTAACATAGACTGTATAAAACATGGACATAGTCTTAGTGATGTCATCTCTTGGTTTATGAAAGACTTGTTTTGAGGCCAAACAATGTCGGTGGCCATATTGGAACAGTCTAAGAAGTGGAGCTCACAAGATATTTAAATGTTTCCTTTTATATTTAGTGGTGCTTTGTTTGAAAATGTGATTCATACTTCATCTTTTTTAATCTGCAATATCTACTGATCAGGCTGAAACCCTGTATGTCTCCTTCAGTAATACTGCTGAACGAAATAGTCCGGCTCCACAGAATCCATATCAGTTGCTGTGCTCATTTCATTCACACCCTCATGCTCGTATACAGTATTATCCCTGAACGATACATCAGAGGGCTCAATCTATTCATTCTCCATTTAATTAGTTACGTTTTCACAAGTCACCCTGATTGATATCTGACGAGCCGAATAAGGCGCCAACACAACAGCTCCCATGTCCTTTTTAAAAACCATCTGGGCTCAATGCAGTTCAGGCTTTTCCTAAAAACCACCCCCCCAGACTTAATCTGGCAGTACAGTAATCGAAACAAGAAGACACTTCTGAATAAGGGCTTCTCTACCTTGGTCGGCATATTTCTCTTTATTTTTTAAATATATTTTTCAGGGCCATTTTCACCTTTGTTAGAAACGTTGGGAGGAGAGGGTGGGGTGATGACATGTAGCAAAGGGCCGACGTCGAATTCAAACCCACGGCCACTGGGACGAGGACTATAGCCTCCATGGGGCGTGCAACATAACCACTAAGCTATCAGGCGCCCAATGGGTCGACTTACTTAACCACAACAGCAGCTTTTAAGAAAATCTTTCAAAAAAAGGCAAACAGACCCTATCACCATTAGAATAAAAAACAACATATTGTATTAGAATGAATGGCTGTTAAACATGTCAGTAGTTAAACGTGTGTGAAATTGAAATGTTGAAAGCTGTCTAAGCTGCTAAAGTTAACACTATTATATCTTTATAAGCACATGTCTCTTCTGCTGGAGAAACTGTTACAGTGAACACAACACTGGACTCAGCACATCACATTCCTGAGTTATGAAACTCTCTTTAATGCAACGAGAAAAAGTGAAAACAATCGTAAAGAGAACATTACAATTATTTTATCTTTACCGTGTGCCATTGCTGATTCTTATATTGTTTTTTGTTTATATTCAGACTGTAGTTGTGGCCATGAGATTTTAACTTCTGGCTAATTGTTGAAGTAAGATAAAAGGAAGTTAGGACAATACCGAAGCATTGAGTTGAAAAAAAAATAAAAACTACTTTGTTTTTCTGAAAATGATCTTGCTAATTTGGAAAAAAACGGGGCCATTTTTTCTGAATTTAGGACAGAACTATCATTTAAAAAGTTTCAAAACTCAGTACAGGGAAGAAAAAGTCAACTGTCATCAAATCCTCAAACCTGAAGTCTGTCCACGTGAACTTTGACCCCTCCGATGTTGCCTTTCTTGAACGAGGCCAGCATGTCCAGGACTGGGTTGAAGCGGCTCCCCCTGCAGAGGCAGAGAGTGAAACTGTCAGATTCTGATGAAACATATTTCTGATAACTGTTATGTTGTAACAGAATACATTTATTAAATCTATATGAAGACTAACATCTAAAGAAGCTGAGCACGCTCTCAATGAATCAGCACATTTCACTGCTTTAGTCTGCCTTCTGTCGCCTTCTGTTTAGGTCATCATCCCGATCGATAGCAAACTAATGACTATTGAGCGTTTTTTTATGAGAGTCCATTGACTCATTCCACATGCTGCAGCGTGGCTGTTTAAGTGTTCTAGCACTTCTCACATATGGCTTCTTGGATAATGGTTAATGCTGCTGTAATCTGCCCAACCAGTCAGGCTTTAGTGATACAAACGAGAAACATTATCAGCCTATCAGCAGGCAAATACAGATGCACCTCCAGCTGTAGTGATGGACAGTACAGAGAGAAGGGAGGAGAGCTAGGGAGGGCAGAGACAGAAAGGTGGGATTAGAGAAATTAACCCCACTGCATTGTGACTGTAGGGACATTTTGAATGAGATCCAGAGTTGGTGTCAGACAGAAAAAAAGAGAGAAGGAGGATGATGTTTGGAGACCCAGGAGGGAGAAGATGAAATAAGAAAGAGAGCAGGGAGACCGAAACAAAATGATTAAAGAGCTCGTATAGAGTGTGTGTTTTACTTTATGTTATCCTCACGGATGAGAACCAGGAAGAGAGGACGTCCCTGCATCTTCCAGCACTGTTTGATGAACTGCAGGGCGTTCTGCAAACACAGGCACACACACAGGCACACAGGCACACACACACAGGCACACACGCACGCACGCACGCACGCACGCACGCACACACACGCACGCACGCACACACGCACGCACACACACACACGCACACACGCACACACACACACGCACGCACACACACACAAAGAAAACACGTCAGTATAGTATAAAACGGCTTGAATTGGTTTCAGTTTCCACAATTATACATTTCTAAAGTTTTGTCTCCTCAGCCCTCAAACTGATCAAAGTTAATATCATAAAAATTAATTTATGCTGCAAATATAAAAATATTGCAGATATGCTTGGAGGATTTCACAGCAAGCAGTGCCATTTAAAACTCATTATTTCACTGAAGTTTGAATGTCTTTCAATTTAATCTGCCTCTATTATCTTAAATTCTGCAATGTTATTTCTTCAGTCAGTCTTTGCCACTGAACTTTTATTCTGTTTACATAATGTGAATACACAACTGATTTGACCAACTATATATAGTAATATATACAGTACTTGTATACATAGTATAGTTTAGTGTTCAATGTTTAAAACGATCAAACTAAACCTGCTGATGATCTTTTCCTTTTTAAGATCAGATTGAATGTCTGTTGGTCAGAAGATCTACAAATGTAAAGTGAAAAGGGGAAACAGGAGAAGGGTCACTTATTATTCAACAATTAGTTCAGAGTAAGTTATCTGATTGGACAAGAGACATTTGTGAGTTCTTTGTATTATGTAGAGTTAAACTCCACTGGGACCTTTTTCTTTGTGTATCCATCCGCCTCAGTCTGGAGTTCTGAATACAATAAACATCACAGCAGACAGTGTTCGTCTTCATTTATCAGTTCGATACCTCGGTATCACAATATACATTCTTTTACTTGTTGCATAATAAATTAAATGTAAATATAAATGTAGTTCTACATTAAACAAGGTAGCAGATCTGTGGTTCCATGGGCACAAACCAAGTAGCAGACCTAGTAATATGTGGGTTGAACTGAATCTGGACTCTTCTGATGGAATCACAGCAGCTCTGATATTCAGTACAACATCCCTCACTCTTGTGTGATAATGCTTCATTAATGGATGACAAGGGATTGCATCTCTGGAGCTCATTAATCCCTGTCATTACACAGCTGGGATAAATACTTGATTCTGATTGGCCAATTACAATTAGCATCCCTTCAGGGGTGAGCAAGAGCCTTCCGCTCTGCATCAGGGTCCTGCTCACGATAACCACCTGCTTACTTAACATTATCCTTTACATAATGGACACCCTGAAGGGGATCATTCTGCTCAAAAAATGGTTGCCTTATCAAGCCTATATATATGTATATGCCTTATATATATATATATATACTTTACATGATTCACATCCCATAAAGTTTTGATTATCGAGTGAATCTTGAATAGCACTCTGCAATAGAGGATATTTCTAGTCCTCATTGAGTACTTCAGCTCAGTTTTAAGTCAAAAAGTCGATGGTATGACAGAAGGACTCAAAAGTTGACTTCTTTGTGTATTATGGAAATAAAGTAAATAATATGTAACAGTTGATTTAACAGCAAGACCTAGTTAACCAGCCATGTCGTTGTCCCCAAATCAACATCAAGCTTTGAATGAATAACTAATTGAAATAAATAGGAAGTAAGATGATCACTATTGTGACGCACCCCCTCTCATGTTTGTGTGAGTGACCTCTGTTTTGGAGTGTCTGTGTTTGTGAGTTTTTGTATACACTTACATTAGGGTTTTCACTGTGGTACGGGTTGTTCATTTGTTGTTATGTTTGGTTAGTCAGTGTAGTTAGGTTGGTTATATGTTCCTTTCTTTTCACCCGTTAGAAAGTCCTAATCTGGAGTCCTTCTGGTCTACTTTGTTAATGATTCGAGTAGCACTTGTCGGCCCTTCCATTTTGTACCACAACTTTTGCTTTGCTATTTTAATAAATAACTTTAATAAACCAACACCATCTGGTTTTTAATGTTTCTGCCTTTTCCCCACACCGAGTCGGGTCGTATCATGATCAAAAGTATCAGAAAGTTCAGAGGGTAAGCTTTTGTGTACACTGGGGTAAAAAAAAAATATTAATGACAGTCTCACCATCTTCTTTCCAATTTGTTTAGCTGTATCCCATTTATCAGTTATCATATCACCAAAAAAGGTTAACAGACTGTTGTACTTGTTCGCCTGTTAGTGAGCGGAAAACATCTTTAACTAGTCTTTGAATATTTACTTTCAAACTTACTTTAGGTCCAGGCTCCTGTTAAAGCAGAGCAGTCATTTTAAATGGTGACACTTTTACTGAAGTACTTAAAGAGGTGTCTATTATCTAGAATTAATGGACACAATCAGAGTCAACTTTTCCACCCAGTCCATGGTGTAAATCAGTTATTTCAGCATTAGTAAGCTCCATAATTGTGACCCTGACTCACCTTAATGTCATCAATCAGCAGCATAACATCTTGGGACAAGTAGAAGTCACTTAGATCAAACACTATTGGGTAGCACACCACCGTCTTGCCCAGGATACGATAAATCTGTAGGGAGACAAACGCACAGAAGAACAAACACACACACAGACTATTGCGTTAGAAGACGGATGGCTCACAAGAAGCCACGTATACGTTATTCTGGGCTGAGTCTAAAACAAGTCATCAATCCTAAGAGAGCCCGGACACACAGAGGAAACACAACCTCTGCTAATAGCAGCTACACAAACATAAAGGACAGACACACAGGAGGTCCAAATGTCCCTTTCACACATACCAGTTGTCAAAGGGGGCAAACACACACACCTGAGCAGACACACTGATGGCTATAATGCCCTCTGGCAGTCTGCCATCTTTCCCATAAATGTTCCATTATAATATTGTCTTAGCAATGCGTCGGGAGCCGTGATTCATTTGTTTGGCAACCTCTTTGTGTAGGGAGGCTGCTACAGCTTAACTTATTCTCTGTCGTGCTATGACCTTCATTGGGAGACACTGCAAACATCATCAGCAACACACACACACACACACACACACACACACACACACACAGAGGAACTTTAGAAACACACACTTCCAAAGCAACATAGTATGCACCCACATGGACACACAGACTGCCTGGAAGCAGCTTAGCATATTAAAATGCAATAAGTCACTCAAATAAGAAAAAATCTATTCAGTATTCACTGATGCACACTGTTTGTCTGATAAAGAGGGGAGCACTTGGAAGTGTATATTTTCTGTTTCCAAGTTGACTTTCTGAGCTGCAGTCAGCTATACAGAGCTCAGGGAAGTTTATGCAAATCAATATGTGTGGAGGCGAGTTCATGGTTGCACATGATCTGTTCAGCAGGTCAACATGTGTGCCTTCTTCCTGAAGTATATGCATGTGTGTGTAGGTGTGTTTACCTTGCAGGTCCCAATGCAGCCAACTGGCCTCTCTGGACGCCCACTCAATCCCAGTTTCTTATTGATGGCAAGGAAACGATATGCCTGCAGAGAGAGCACAACATCCACATGATGCACATATTTTTACTGTTATCCTTCTCTTTCCAGAGAAAAACTACAATCTACATCTCAATCTGTGCATGTCTCAGTGATTGTATCAGCATTGCTTTGAGATTAAAACCATCACATTCGATTTGAAATGTCACGCTGCACAGTGCCATTCCACATCGTAATGAAAGTGTGACTCCATCATCTGTCAGTCCCACAGAGACATTTGTGCCGCTGCGACTCATAAGCTGAAATTACCTCCATATGGCAACACCACCTACTGATATTAGCTGCGTGTAAAGTTATGAGACATGTTGATAATGAAAGGTCCCTGTGCTGCCATCAGCAACGTGCTTAGTGGACCGAAGCACACCCATGGGTCCTGGAGCTGATAATACTGCTGTGCTGACAGTCAGGGACCCATAAAGAGAGACACTGATACCTTGCTGAGCTCTCATTAGGATAAATAAACAACAGCATGTTGTTCAGTATTTTCCCTGTGAGACACTTAGCAAATCTAACACTACTAAAATCATGAATATTGAAACATAGCTAGTGACACTTGACCCTACATGCCCTGAGAAGTTGAGATACTTGTCATGCTTCCCATGCTAGCAAATATGCAGGGAAATTCCTTTTTTTCCTGAGCTCTAACACATCTGCAGAGCTCAGGAAGTGAACGGCAGCTCTCTAGCTCCCAGACTAGGTCCGCACCAGGACTCGAAATGGCAACCCTCCAGTTCCCACCCCAAGTTCAGACAGACTGAGCTACTGCCGCCATAAGAAGTTAGCAAGGATAGCAGTGGCAGATTTATAACTTTATTTTTCTACATTTTCGGAAAGACTGGTCTTTAATGTTTGTCTTCATGACAAAAGCAGGTTTGTCAAAGTATAGGTGTTGATTTTGTTCAGTATTTGACAACTGCTGCTAAATGATTAACCCATCTGGTGCTAACTAGCTATGTAGCGCTAACAACATGGTGTGGCTGTTTTAAAATGTGCTTGCCAGCAGACTTAATGTGCCTCAAGCTGATTTAGTAAAGAAAAGGATTAGGAAATAGCATTGAACTTGTATCACACACTAAAGCTAGAAAGCTCTAAACTTAAAGCTAATTTGAAATCAGTACTTCAAGGATAGTAGTTCTTAGTAAGGAAACTGGCATGATTTAGCAAACAGCACCAGGGTTTGATTCATGCTTTATCACTTGTGTTTTTAATACTTTATTTTACTTCAACAAGAGTAACCTATAGGTTTGGAAATCAATGATCAAGTCAGATCTGTGTAGGGCCCATTCACTGGGTCTTTTGGAGCGCCCGCCTGGACATGGGGGAAATGTCAAAAGAATACATTATTGATTGATTTAGCTTTTCTGAAGCTTCAGACAGTCTAGCATTCTTAAGTATGGAAAAAAGGTGATTCAATCGTGTCTGATCTGTCCAATATTCTTCACTCAGAGTTACAGCTTTTACCCTCTGGGAGAAGATTCAGGCTTCCTCTGACCATGCTGAACCGTTGTAAACATTCATTTGAGCCTACCTGTGAAAATGAGGGGCTGTGCAATATGTCAATATATCGCTACTGTCAGAAGGTGTTCATTTATGTGGATATTGTCACATGAAGTTGCATGAATGTTTTAGGATGTATCGTTATGTGTTTTGTGTGATCTCTATTTATGTATGAATGTTATTCTCTTTGTAACTGCAGGACAGAGTCCAAGACAAATTTACCAACAGGGACATTAAAGTGTCTTTTATCTTTTTTCTGTGGTATATATCTCCACTTTCCCATTTAAAAAATGGATTACTTTGGACTGGAGGTTGGAATAGGTCCCTCGTTTTTAAACCTCGGAGTAAGTGGTTTCTTTCTGGTCATGCTTAATCTGTCCACACACTGTTGACAAGCCTGTCTGCATCCCTACAGCAGAAATATTGTAGTTTAATCACGTCAGAAGTCTCAAGACTCAGCCTGGTCCGACAGTCTCAAGGTGAAAACCCTGAGTCAAGTCTGATCTCGAGTATAAAGCAACTTTATGAGCTGAGAAATGTTAACATCAGCAGTGCAGGATGTCCAGAGCACAGAGGCTAGAAGAGGGCTCGATATTAATGCTCAACTCAGACAAAGTTTGGCTGTAGAGGATGTGCGCGCAGTAGCTAAGGTCAAGTAACACAATTAATTGGCGGACTGAAATTCTGCGGTGTCAGAGATGCGGATAAAGTAAAAATCATACAAGGTTCAATTCAGTTTTATGGCACTTAATAAGCCTGAACTCTAAGGCAAGCTGTACAGTATCAAACACTATTAGTGATGTTTCCACCTAACCTAACCAAGACTTTCAGTCTAAGAAACTACTTCAAGGTGCTAAAAGGTTATTTGTTGTCTACTTTTCATGAGATCTAAGGACTCTTTAAAATTAGACTTGTTGGTCTGCTGACACGGAAAAATGATTCTAAATGCTGCAAGTACTTGACCAAAAGTAAATGTTCAGTTCATATCTAAAAGTCCCTGTACTTTGGCAGGAACATTTCAGAGGTTAAAAGAGTCTCAGGCATTGTATTCAGGCCTTGGTCCCAAAGGTAGAAACCGGTTGCTCCATAAGTTCATAGTACCCGAGAAAATGTTTCATTTTAGGTCTTTTGCAATGAATGTGATACTTGTAATATGTTGCATAAGTGTACCCTTAGAAAAAGCAAGAAGCATAAACAAGAATTCTGAATATATAGCAGGTGCTGCTGTGATTACTGAGACTTAGATCAAAGGGCTCCCCAGTTGGTCAAAACAAAGCAGAGGAATAGGTCATGGCCTCCCCCGCAGCCATCTCTGAAATGCATTTAGAGACGGGAGCGAGGGCAATACTGGAGCTCCAGCCGATGAGTTTCCAGAACGTTTCTTTGGTGCTTCAGATAAAAGCTTCTCACCGCTGTGTCGCCTGCTGTCAAAACGCCACGATACAAAGATGGAGAGAGAAAGAAGATGGGCATTGATTCCTCTAGCTCTTCTAGCTCTGAGCCCACACACCACCACATGAATTTGCAGTATTTTGTAGCTGTGTTGATTTGCAATTCTTCTGTGCCTGGACGGGGGAAAGACCACTAATACCCTTTGTCACAGCTTGTCAATTCTAAATTTAAACAGCTCCCAATCCGCTCTATCATGAAACATCATCAGTGCACCCACACACGCTCTGCAGGAAATCTGCCTATCAAGCCCTCCATGCCGCATTCTTCCATCTCAAACCAAATGCAATTCACAATGTCAACCAAAAGGTGGTGCTCTGCTACTCCAGTCTTCTTCCTAACTGCTTAGAAAAAGATGAGCTGAACACACAACAGGGTTGGACCAATTTAAATATATAACACTTAGAGAGGAAAAGCAGAGTGTTTTTTTTAAAAAAAAAGAGAAATGTTAATTGAGAGTAAGTGGCATAGCAAATCACTGCTCTGACAACTAAAGATGAGACCTGGAGAGTAAAAGCCGAGGGAGGATGAAGGAACCTCTGCACCCAACTCTTCCTCTGTGCAGAATACCAATGAAGAAGGACAACACGCTGCAGCCTATCAAAGCATCCTTTCATTCCCTCACATTTCCACCGACCGCAGCACAAACAGAAAGCCTGACAGGTGGTAGAGATAATAAGATCTGTGTTAAAACGTTATATTTTAAACGTCTGCAGTGGCTCAAGAGTTTAAGACTATTAACAGACAAACTGCAAAACTTTAAATTCACTTAATGGACGTTTCACGATTTGATAGGGGCTCAGAAAGGACTGGGAGGCTGCTGTCCTATATAATGTAAGTGTAAGTGTCGGTGTCACATAAACCTTGCAGTACAGATTTAGTTTCACAGCAGAATCTGTCATATAAAGGGACTTATAGTGCAGGTAGGGGTTCAGCATCTTGCCAGACAGCTGAAAATCATTTTGTAAGAGGTCCCTGTGCTGCCATCAGCTTTTTGAGTTTTGGAAAGAAGCCCTCAGGTTCTGAAAGCCTTTAGGTTACAATCAGATAAACGTCTTCATAGGATATCAGTGCGTTTCTTTAAGTGCTTCAATAATCATAAAATTAATTGTTGGTTCTTGCAGTTTTTTTTCCTGTGAAGAAACCCTGTACTATGTTTGTACTTAATTTCATGATTGCAAGATTTTGACAAAAAAAACTCAGATACTTTATGTCTGACCCAAGCAAAGCAAGTCAAAAGCAAGCTTTGAATATTACAGCAACTTCCTGCTACACGTTTGTGTGCATGAGGCTCGTTCTTTTTCAATTATTGCTTACAGGCTGCAGAATGAGTAATGTTCAGTAATTTAACTGGATGTCTATAAAGTTATTGCCTACAATGACTTTTGACCTTTGCTGCTCCTTTGCTTTGCTGTTTTGTGTCCAATTTGATTGGTTGGTTTAATATATCTCAAACCAAAATGCATCTGTTGAAATTATTTGACAAAATATAATAAGTTTGTGCTTAATGAGGACAATTGGAAAAATGAAAGAGAGGACTGTAACAACCATTTGAAATTATTTATCTAATAGGGACAATGCAATTCAACATGATTCAATTCAATTCAAATACATGAAACTGATGTGCTGCATAAAGAGTATATGGCTATTGCTAATTTCCAACTCTTGTCCCAACAAGATACCTCAACTATATAAGTCAATATATTGACCTGACTCCTCAGGGTGCGATAGCTAAGGCTGACAGGCAACTGCTAGCTAGCAGTATTTGTTTATGTCTGTTTCCTTTGTAGTGTTGGATGAATTCTGCCTCACCATATTTAAGTGTTGTAATGACTAAAGCCTTTTTAGCTTACAGCTGAAAAATGTGTGATTCCACAGATGTTTTATCAGGTGACTTTGATTAGATTTGTCAGACAAGGAAACAACAGAGCTTCAAGTCAATTTCAAAACACAACACAATATACAGACTCCTGTTCATATACTCCACTTACACTACGCCAAAGGAGGCACTGATTGAAATGCAAATCATCCTCTGAAAGTCCAAGCAATATATTGTTTGCACGCCTTTTTTCTTTAATCCTCACATGATCTTGTAGTTCTCCTGTGATCTTGTGAACCCGGGAGTACAGCTGCTCATGCTCACAAATAAAATGTTATTATTATGACCAACAGGAATAATTGACAATAATAATATAATGAGACCCGGGTAAGACGATTCTAGTATGTGTTTTTGAGACCTGCAATCTTATTCCGTAGCTTGCCTTGAGGGCCTCCTTTACTCCAGGTGTGGCTTTAAACGGCAACATGTTAGGAGAATGAAAGTCTTTATAAAAAACCAAAATGTCGTCAACATCGACTATCAGATGTGAAAAGCGAGAGAGAGGCTTTAAGAAGAATGCTATTTTTGGGAAGAGCTTTGATTTGCGACGGGATAAGCTTCAGGGTGTACGGGTGGGAATAACACATTGCAAAATGTAATTGCCACTCTCCCATCATCAGGCAGCTGTTGTCAACACAATCAAACGGCTGCTGGGGGCGAGGTGAGGTGAGCAAATGCAGCCTGCAGCAGCGGAGATGGTGGTGACTCTGAGATAAACAGATTTCTGTCGAGGAAGAAACGTCTGTCTGAGCTTTCAGATTTAATATTCAGCACAACGCCCCGCTCTGACTCACAACTGCACATCCATTTGAGGCTGAGTATACCGCGCTGCAGAGAGAGAGGTGAGAGAGAGGAGAGGAAAGAAAAGTTACAGGTATGACAGTTCAAAGGCAGATGATGGACCTGGAGGGGAGAGTTGTTTGGACATAATGGGGGCGGGCAGGACTGAGGCCCAGAGGACAGAGTGGGGTTAGAGAAACGGATGAGACGGATAGTCGGTCTCTTCAGATCCCCAGAGTGATTACAGGAAAGGAAAAAAAAAATTGTTTGTTTTGAAGAAGGTGGCATGAAGAATAGTCGCCACATGACAGACATGACAGATGAGGAACAGAGGCGAGGGAAGGGAGCAAGGTTTGATTGACAGATGTGACAAAGGAGAGAGGGAAGACTTCAAACAGTACACATGCAGACGAGGGACAGCGGAGAGGGGAGAGCAGGCTTTGAGTGACGGACACAATGGGAGTGAAACAAGTTTGGAGGGGAGGTGGTGGCTGGTGTCATGAATATGACAGAACATGAGGTGTAATCTGCTGCAGATAAAAGAAACAGAGTGGACAGGATGGAAACAGCAGCTAGCGGTGGAAGTGTTCTATAGTCTTTAAAATCTATTTTCCTGTAAGCAACCTCTGCAATGAATCAAGTCTCATCACAGGTGAGATGTCCATTATTAGGGTATCTTTACTTTTGTTTATTGAAGTTGAAAATGAATACATCTGATAATGGATTTGAAAAAATTGGACACGCAGATTCACATTTTCTACCTCTCGTAACCCTGACCCTTAAAAAAAAAAGGTTTACAATAAAAGAAACAGAAGGATTTCATGGACGTCTTATCCTTTTACAAAACTTTTGATGTTAGACTTGCAAGAACAGCAATAGCACTAAAATGAAAGAGTCAGGATCACTCTTCTTTACACCAATATATCAGACCCATTGAAAGCCAAAGCAGCCTGTTTAGCGAACAAGAACTGGAGGAAAGAAAATAGCTTAAGTTACTGATTAGCAATAACGCTTGAAAAATGTAGATTTAATTATACAGGGTCAGAGCGTAATGCAATGTTGTCTGTTATACTCAATCACTGAGGAGGGAAATTAAAACAGTGCCACAATTTGTAACCAAGAAAGTGACAATAACTAACTAACACCACCAAGATTTGATCATGTAAGGGGGTTATTCTGGAGCCCTTTGTTTGCTATAGAGGAAGAAACATATTGATAAACTTGATAATGTTGTCAGCCTGTTTGTGTCCATTCTGACCTTAACTAAGAATCTTACATTTTAAACACTTCCTGTTGAAGCCTCACGTCTTACTGCCTGTGTCCACTTTTGTTGCCTTAAAGATTATTTTATTGTTCGGATCTTTCTAAAAGTTTCTGATATTGGTTGCATTGTCCAACCACACATCAGATTTTTGCCTTTTTGTGTGTTTTGCTTGAAGACAGATTTCACAATAGACAGCTTCATGCAACACAAAGCCAAAGAAAGAGATGCATTGTGTTCCCCTCCTGTGAGGGGGAACTTAAAAACACAATGTGAGAATACGGTTGAAAAGGCTTTCTAGTTTATATTTCTTTTATTTGCTGTAGGAGGCGTGAGTATCATAAGGCTGACACCTCAGCTTATTGACAAGCAGTCACGTATTTTCAAAGATCTAAAAGAGGCTGTTTCCAAGGTCGAGCAGAGTTTGCTTGGATCTCAGATTTCCCTCCATCTACAGCTTACAGCCCTTATATATTCTCTTTGAGAGCTCCAGCAACTCATCAGCTTGTTTTTTTAACCTCATCTGCAGCTTTATGAGTCTTTGGATGTTGAAGATGCAGCTTTGTCAAAAAAAAAAGTTTCATAACAAAGTCTGTATTAAACAAGAATGTCACATATCAACATCCGGGATATCTTTCATCACCTATATGATTGTCTAAGAACAATCTTGGAAGTGGCTCAGCTCCATGCATCTCTCATTTGCCAAAGTGACACCATGAAGGCTGAACCACTACCTCGATCAATCAACATGAACAATCACTGCTCAGCTGATCAATCCCTTCGACTTGATTGATGGGACAATCGAGAAGCAAATCTTGAGCAGGAAATCTTTGGGTGACAAGGAAATGGACTGACTGAGCCAAGTTCTTCTGGGATATCGACAGCTACAGTGAAATGTAATCTTTGAGGCTTCAGTTGAGCTGGGGGAAAGCCCTCCCCATCTTTACAACCTTGCATATAAAGTCATTATTTTGTAACATTATAACACAGTAAGAATACACTTTAAATGCATTGCACTTTTCATATTAGAACTGCAGAGACGCTGCCTCTCAATAGTCAAAGCAGGCAACTGCTTGGTAAAGGGGGCCCCCGCAGCAGTGACTCAAAATGCAATGACATTAGGGAAACCTCCCTAATTCGGCTCCAACTGACATCACTCCCTCTCCTTGCTGTGCCAAGCGTCGCATGCATTACTGCTGTGAAAACCAAAGTTTGTCATTGAAAAGTCACAGAAGGAAAATGAGGAGGAATTATCTGTGGGAGTGGAACAAGAAAGAGGAAGAGCGCTTCTGGACACCGGCAGAGATAATGGTTGATGGTTGGAGGGGCCCCCGATGATTTTTTTTGCCTTAAGGCCCGAACCGACTCTGGGATCGCCACTGAAGATTAGTTTTAAGCTTCTTTTTTAAATTCTCTACTTTAGCACTCGGATGAAATAACAGCCTAGTATAACTTTTCAAAGCAGGGGAAAGTTGTTCGGCCCTACAAAGAAAGATGTTTAGATGTATTCTCCTGTCTTCTTCTAGGATCAACTGCAACATAGCAAAGCCCCTGAAGCCAATGAATGCATGCTTGTTTCTCACTTTCATAAAAGCTGCTAATATTGAGGATGGAGTTATCACAGTATGTAACAAGCAATAGACAGAGAACAGAGTAAGCAGGCTGCTAAATTGTTACAGTGATTTGTTTTTAGGAAAATCAATGGTAATTTGGTTCATTTCAGAAGCCTGTTTCAGTCGTCTGCACATGTACTTTGCAGAAAGAGAGAGAGCTAGACATGTGCAAAATGTGTTAACAATATTTGTTTGTGTTACCTTGACCAGTTCCTTCTGAGGCCAGATCTGGATAGGCTCCACCTGCTGGGGCGTCTGGGTCTGAATGCCATAGGTGTTTAAAAACACCTGCAATCTAGACACACACACACACACACACACACACACACACACACACACACACACACACATCCTTATCCTTGAATAGATCTTCTGTGTAGCTGTTGACCTTTAAATATATCAGCTTAGATTTTTCTTGTAAAGCTGCAGCTTCATGAGTCCATGGATATTGAAGCTGCAGCTATGTCAATAGAGCTTTTATAAATCTGTTGAACTTGTGTTGAGACAAATACAAAACTTGTGTTAATCAGGTCTTGTTATGAAGATTTAGCTAGTGAATAGTGAATAGTGAATAGTGAATAGTGAGTGTGTCGCGGAGACAAACATGGAGCATCCTTCTGAAGTTGCCAGCAGCAAAAAATTAAAGCTACAGGTTAACAAGCTTCACAAAGTCATTTCACCCTGTTTGACACACACGCGCACACACTCTTACACATGTGCACACAGACAAACTAAAAGGAACACACACACACACACGATGAAAGGAGTAACAGGTCGGCTTGAGCTCCAGCTTTACGAGCTCACTAAATTGCAGGAGTGAGAGAGTTGAATAGGAAAGAGGGCTGGTAAAAAAAACAAAAAAAACTGTATGACCTGAAACACATTAAGAGACACACAAAAACACAAACACACACTCACACACTTATTACCTCTGGCTCTCTGCTATCAGGGCCACGTGAATCACAACATCATTCTCAATAGGACCCTGTGAGAGAGACAGAGAATACAGACGTTAACATGGTAAACACGGTTCTCATACATGTTGCATCAGTGGTTTTATGACAAGTGTTTGTACTCATGAAAACGCTGTAAATCATATTATCATACAGAGCGTGTAAACCTTTCCACCTCTACATCGCTCACAGCATAGTATGTTTGCATATTATATGTTATTATACTAAGGGTGTTCTTTCTCGTATATTTAAGGTCTGTTCTCTATAGATATTGTAGATTTTAAAATATCATTATAGTGCACTATGGGATTCCATTTTGGTCCTAAGACTTTTACGACATTATTGTCCTGTTGTTTTCATATTGGTCTTATTGTTTTATTGAGTTCTTTTATATGGTTGTTTGTTGCTAGGCAATTTGAACAACTGTCTATAAATGTGCTCCCCTCAATAAATTTGGTTTGGATCGAATATGTTTTTTTTCATGTACTCTGTTTACAATTGTTATATTATTTGATTCTTATTCTAATGCTTTACTCCATCCTGTTACTGTTCTTTTCTATCTGTCTATCTATCCATCCAGCCATCCATCTATCCATCCATCCAGCCATCCATCCATCTATCCATCCATCCATCTGGTAGCATGACTAATGGCTAGGAAGACATTGTGTAATGGGTAAATGTCATTCATCTAGACATAATTTACACTACATGTCTATAAAAGGAAGTAAATAAATGATCGATAATAAGACGTAAATTTGTATTTGACATGATCGCAGCAGCTCAAAAAGGACAAAATAAGGTAAAAAATTAACATGTTTTCATTTACTACAGAAACAGCTTTGTCTCCTCAACACACGTCTCTTTGTTGCTTTCATATGCCGTGCCTCAGCAGGAGCGCGTCATGGCGGCACTTAAACAAGTCCTGCTACATAACTGACAGTCACAATTGGCCAGAACAGAGCAACACATTACTCATGCAGGTTGAGAAACATCATGAAAGACAAGAAGACAAAACAACATGAAAATAGAGAGAAGACAGGAAGAGGAGATGTGTTTTCCTCTGCAGTAACGTCAGACCACTTGAGCTCGACGAAAAAATCAGGGATAAACACAGAGTAGCTACACTTCACAGTTGTTCTTCTCCCAGCGGAGCACCTGAATGCATTACGGGGAATAAATCAAATGCAAATAAGGCGAACATGTCAGACAAGCTGAATTTTTTAAAAGTACAAAAAGCTGGGGTGTGTTATTAGAACAGAAACAATAGTATCCAAACCTGTTATATCCAGAAAACACAGACACTTTTATTTAAACCCCCTCGTTGACTGTAAGTTTATTTGGCTGTAAATGTATTCACAGGAGTGTGTATCTGTCAGTCAGTTTAAGTGTGTGTGGCAAGGGAACGGATAACAGAGCTGTTCTGTGTCAGAGTCATAGAGCACTTCAAGGTGTGATATGTGACATCATTAACATGAATTCAGCAGATATCAAATATATCCTTACGTTAATACACTGTTGAGATATGACTTTCTAAAAAGAGAGTGAGGTCAAACTCCCTGTGGGTTGGTTGTTCTCAGCTCTGTTTTCACTCTGACGGGTGTTGGGTTATTCAGAGGCTCAAACCCCCCAGACTCACCTGCTGCTGTTTTGGTTATTTTAAAGTAATTGGTAGACTGGATGGTAGATGGACTTTTCTAGCCTTCTGACTACTCAAAGCGCTTTTACGCCGCATGTTACACCTACTTTGCACTGTCTGTTTTTTGATAATTGTATTCTTTTTAAACATTGCTAAAAAATGTGTTTCATCTAGAGGTATTCTTAAATCTTTTTTTCAGGTTAATATATATGTATGGGAGGGGGGGCATCGGTTTTGTGGTTAATTTGTAACAAATGTTTTATGTCATGTACGTCTTTGTAACCTGCTACTGGATGCTTTGAATTTCCCTCTGCATCAATAAAGTATTTATTCGCCGCCACCAAAGCAGCAGGAGCAATTCGGGGTTAAGTGTCTTGCCCAAGGTCACATTCTGTTGCTGCAGGAGCTGGGGATTGAACCCTTAACCTTCTGGTTAAGAGACAACAACTCCAACCAACTGAGCCACGGCCGGATGTGGAAGCAGGAAGAAGATGAATGTTTGGCAGCACCCTCTCAGGGATGCTGAGTGAACCCATTGACAGACATCTAACAAAGATTTATTCAAGTTCATTTCTGTTAACATATGCCTGCAAATTCAGTGCAGCTGGACATCGTCCCTCTACTGAAACTCCATTCTCACTTCACAAGATGCTAGAGGCTGTTACAGCATCAGACAGAGTGTAAACCAGAGGACACATAACCGTTACAATTAGGGATAAAAACTGGTGTAATACAACTTTTTGTTGTATTTGTGATTGTTATGTTTCTGCGTGTATTTAGGGGTTGCGGCTGCATCTTCAGCACCTATACTTTCTGTGTCTGTGTGTGATGTAATATTACTTACACATTTATGTTTTCTGTTTTTATAATTGTCATTTAGGAGAGTTTTGTTAAGATAAGATAAGATAATCCTTTATTCATCCCACAACGGGGATATTTACGGTGTTACAGCAGCAAAGAGCAAAGATTGCAAACAAAAAGTGAACACAGTACAATTTAAATAAAAAAATAAAAATTAAATAAAAATGTACAAAAAATAGATAGATACTACAATATAAATTTGAAAAAATAGATTAAAAACTTCTTATCCATACGTTGTCTCTATTGGTTTTAATCATGCACATATAAATGTCACTCATGTGCATGTGCTTCAGTGCCTTTTCTCTCACAGCCTCTTTACAAGTCAAGTTGCCCTTTATACATGTCATTTGTATACGTCTTGTGAGCAGGAGATGTTCATCTGCGCTCTATTCAGGGCCATTTAAGAAGCAGGCAGAAAAGCGTGTGACTCACAGGATCGACGCCCTCTTTCATCTCTGTCTCATTGTGAGGATGCAAACACACACACACTGATGCACACCTGCACACACAGAAACACAGCGTAACTCTTCAACATGAAGGCAAATCAGCACCGATACAGGCGTGCAAAGACACTCAGTTTCAGTCAGTGACAGAAAAACAAGAGTTAGGGAACAATACACAGAAATGAGCGTGACTGTGTGGAAGCAGACTCACACACACACACGTGGGAAGCTTGGAGCCATTTTGTTTGGTCGATAAGAGCAGGTTTTAGCCAACAACCTCGTTATCATCAATCAGAAAGTAGAGAGAGAGAGAGACAGAGAGAGAGAGAGAGAGAGAGAGACACAGAGAGAGAGAGAGAGACAGAGAGAGAGAGCTGGGAGAAAAGGGGTGGCTCAGGAGAAAAAATAAAAACAGACGGCTGAACACAAATCTCTCCTGATGAATGGAGGAGTAGTGGCTTCTAAAACGCTGCAATGCAACTCTCTCATTAGCGCTGGTCTCTGAGCAGACAAAGGATTCATTTGGAGAAGGCGATGATATATAAAATATGCATAAAAGGAGACACCGGAGAAGTGAACTCCCTCACACTGCAGCTGAACCTCAGTGACTGTGAAACTGCAGAGAGGACGATGAGACGAGTTTTCAAATGTTTCTGTAGACGATCTTTTTCAGGGGCACGCGACAAACATCGACGTCAAAGTGTGACTGAAACTGTGTCCAATGTACGACACAAAAAGGAAAAGGAGAGATGGGTCTTTTTTGCTGTAGACTGCTAAAAGGTAGTTAAAGAAATGATATTGGACTCTGGGTGTGCAGCCAACAGCTCAGGCCAAATCTAACAGTTTAAAGATCTCTGTAGCACTCTGTGGAATTGGATTTCATACTAATTAATGGAAAGAATAAAACGTGTAGAACAAACGGCTGCAATTGAGCACAGGTAATTAAAATTCTCAACCTTTTAACTACGCATTGTGGTACATAGCACGCACGAATATGGACTGATATTTCCAAATAAGGAGGCAGATCGAATGAAAACAGACATGCTGATTCAATTTGAAAGTGAAGATATGCATGTGAATCCAACTTTTCTTGACTGCAAAAACGTGCTGTGCTGCTCTTATTTATGAGTCAAAAAACTTTCTAACTTTCTGGGAGATGCAGGGTTTCTGTAGTAAATGTTAAATCAGCATGTTTTCAGTAGTTTCATTTTTACTTTTTCATGAATATTAATTCAATTACGGGTCAACTTTTTCTTGAGTCATGTTGCTCCACCTACACATTGAACCGACACTCTAACCTATGAACACCACAAAGTCCAACCAGCGTCCTTCTGGGGGTTCACAGAGGAAATTCCTAACTGCAGTAGCAAAAAAAAAAAAGAAGACAGGCTTGAAGTAGGTGAGTAAGCCGCAAAAATGAATTGCATCACTTCAACATGAAATAAATCCTGGAAAATGCACTCAAGCTTGCAGATTGATGTGTAACAGCTTGTTTCCAGGAGTGAGCTCTGCTGTTTGGGCCAACACAAGGGGATTCAGCTGAAGATACAGCTGGAGGGGCTGCATGTTATTGATCAGCTCAAAGACACAAGTTTAGTGTGATGGAGACAACCTCCAACAAAATCTGAACATATTGTTTATGACTATTAAAACAACATCCCTGAAGATACCTTTCACAAAAAGGATTTAAACAAATGAACTCCAACGTGACCTTCAAACGTTTGCCCAGAATCTTAAAGATGAAGTAAAGGTGAAAAATTCAATAAAAACATAATTTATCAATACACATAGACACACAAAAATCTATAAATGTATATAAACATAGGCTTTACTTCATCAGTACAATAATAATAAAACACTGCTATAAATCAATATTTAGATCAAAGGAAAAGTTTGATCTTTTTGGAAATGCGCCTACTTGAGACAGAAACTAGAAACCTCTCCACTCTGATAGCTTTCAATGTTCTTTAATGCATCAGCCAGCAACCACTTAGCATAGCTTAGCATAAAGAAAGAAAACAGGAGAAACTAGCAATGCCAAAACATTAGCCAAACCTTGCCTAAGCCTAGCATAAAAGCAGAAACTGTCTTTCTTACACGTGATCTTCAG